TTGAACTCTGAGACTCAAACAACTATGAGACAGTGCAGTTCCTACAGTTTAAGGCACAGGTGTGTGGGTGTGCGGTGTTTCCTTAGGGAAACCCCAGACACAGAATACAGAAGAGAATTTAAATTTTATTGATATTTTTTCTAGACAAGATAGGTTTAGGGTATGGAGAGGTCTTTGCAGGGTCAGGAAAGGAGAGTACAGTCTTCCCAACATACATTGCACGTTCAGCCAAGTTTCCCCCATCTTGAGTTTTGTCTCCATGGACACATTTTGATTTGAAATTTACTCAAGAAAGAATAAGCCAAATTGTAGTTCACATTGGTGACCATCAAATTCTGATGAAGCCTGACTTTGGTTACTGAATTTACACAGTTAGGGGAAAAAGACAAGGGGGTGATTTGGAGACAGATCTTATGTCTCCTGGGATGTTAACATCAGTACTGGGTGATGTCTGAAATCCTTAGGTTTGTCTCCAGCAACTGGCAAACAGTGGCAAGATATGAACCTGGCTTTCTAGAGAGCCGCTGGGTTTTAGAAGTGGTCCTACAATCTTGGGCAACCCTTATTGCTAGTTCTGGTGGTATGTTTCAAATATATTCCTGATGGTCCAAAGACTTTGAAATGTACACAGACAAAGAAAGGATATGTTCTCCATCAGATGCTCTGTGCTGCACCATGTATGAATCCAAAAGGTGCCCAGATGAGGTGCAGGGGAGGCAGGGGTAGAATTTAGGAGGCACCAAGTTCTCTTTTGTTCAACTGGGACTTTTGGGGTATCCACCAAGATGGTGAGCCTCCTTTGTGGATGATGGAATTAAGGGGAATGAGTGAGACCTGGACACTGTATTCAGTGACAAGATGAGAAGATAGTTCTGCACAAAATCCTTGGGAAAATATGTAAAAAGAACTATTACAGAGGCACCAGGATGGGAATGGATGGGGAAGGGTGGACACCCCAGTCCCACTCCTTACCCCACACCCAACCCTATTCTTGGAGGAGGTGGGTCATGGAGAATCTCCTGCTGATCTTAATAGGCTCCCACTTCTATAAAGTCAGGCTAAATTGGTCTTAAAGTCCATCCTCCTTGATGCAGATGGGGACCAAGTCTTCTGTCTCCAGGGAAAGTGGAGTTTTCCTGTTGCATGTGTGGTGACTGAGGTGCCCTAACCCTCCCTGCCTTGTTGCTTCTTTGCAGGCAGTCAGAGCTGGGGAGCTTGTGGCATCTGGGAGGGGAAGGGGACCCTCCAGCCCCATCATCTGAGAGCTGAGGGGAAAGTGGGTGTGAGAAAGTAGATGACCACCTGCAACCTAGCTCCAGGGTCACCTTCCCAGCCAAGTCCCCATTTTCTTTTTTGATGTCCAGTTCCATAGACTAGTTCCTTTGTCTCTCCTTTATCTTATACCACTGCTCAATTCATTCCTCTAAGAGCAGGGCTAGGCCTCTCTACATGCCTGGCTACCAGCCTCCAAAGGAAAACCAACAGGTCCTTTTCACGTCATTAAAAAATTAGTTATTAATTTAAAATTAGTTATATTTGTGGTGCACAGGCATGCATGTATGCCCAATGTGGGTTCCTACAGAGGCTAGGAAAGGGTATCAGGTCCCCTGCAGCTGGAATTACAGTTGCTTGTGAGCTATACAACATGGGCCGTGGGTGCTGGGCATCAAACGTGAGTCCTCCACAAGGGCAGCAAGTGCTCTTAACTCCTGAGCCAGCTGTCCAGTCCTTCCCTTCCCCCTTTTCATCCTGATACCCATTCTTTTTTTTTTAAGATTTATTTATTATGTGTACAACTTTCTGCCACCATGTATTCCTGCATGCCAAAAGAGGGTACCAAATCTCATTACGGATGGTTGTGAGCCACCATGTGGTTGCTGGGAATTGAACTCAGGACCTCTGGAAGAACAGTCAGTGCTCTTAACCTTTGAGGCATCTCCCCAGCCCCCTGATACCCATTCTTATGGGCCAAGCAGGGCTTGAACTCATGGCAATCCTCCTGTGTTAGACTCCCAGATTCTGAGATTACATGTGTGAGCACTCCAGGCTCCGTGCTTTTTGTTTAATTCCCACTCACCTGGAGACAGCAGGGTTAACAGAATGGGTAAACAGGCTCAGCTTTCTCTTGGTTCACAAGTCATTCCCCTGCATTTGGCTATGAACCAACTCCCGCTAACACCGAGCATAAGGAATGTTTTTCCAGCAATGTTTTCTTCCCCCATTTGGCTTTCAAAAATCATTGCTAGAAATGGAAAAGCAACTCTGTACAACTTAACAACAAAGGAGCATGTCAGATATGCATTATCTCATGAGATTTGCTTAGGAAGCATTTTGTCATGCTTCCTCGGAGCATCTCCACTGGGGTCTGGTTACATCGGTTTACAACGGTGTGAGGCACTAAGGACCTTACAGCCCCAAGCCTTCCCCGTACCCTAGTCTTTGACTACACACTGAGCAAACTACTAGAGGTAAGGCTAGGCTTGATGACACATGCCTATAATCCAGTGTTCCTGAGGCCAAGATAGGAGAATTTCTAATAATTGAAGGCAAACCTAGGCTACACAGCAAAACTTGATCTCACAAAACAGCTAACCACTTCCTGGTTGGATTTACATCATAGTCCACAAAATGAAACTCATACCTGGTACAATAGTTGGGCAAAAAAATCTGTAGCTAGACAGGTCAGAGGCCATGGGGGAAAGTCCACTGTTGTTCTGCTACTGGGCATAAAATTAAACTGACATTGTTAGACCTATCTCCTAAGGTATCTCTCGTCCCTCATCAGGGAAGCTTCTATTTGCAGTAGATGGTGGTCAACGCGGAGACCCACAAACAGCCAAGGCATGGAGAATGAGAGCCTTCAGAATGCTCAGTCCCAAGGAGAACAACTACTGCGCTCCCCCGGCCCCCAAGGCTCCGGGATCATTTTGGAATAGGAAGCAGAGACAGGAAGCGCCAGAGGCAAAACATTAATCCAAGGAACAGCGTCCTTGGGCTAGAGAAGGGCAGCTGCATGCATGACCTCAGCAGTTCTGACAGCATGCACAAGCCCCATGCAACTTTACCCACAATCAAATCCCAGCAGGGAGCGGAGAGGGGGACATGAAGTCCCAGCCCTAGCTGAGGGACTCCTGGTGATTGGTAACTGCTGGGATGCGGAGAGTCAGTTTTCTTTTTGTTTGTTTCTAGACAGGATTTCTCTGTGTATTGTGTACTCCTGGCTGCCGTGGAACTCACTCTGTAGACCAGACTGGCCTCAAACTCAGACATCCACCACCTCTGCCTCCTGAGTATTGGGACTAAAGGCACCACCGCTTGGTCAGAGAGTCAGTTTTCTTTAACACTGTAGTGCATCCTAAGTCAACCATGCTCCAATGAAAGGTTAAACATGGATAAACAGCAGCACAGATTGGGTTTGATAGACGAGGGGGAAAAGACACATGGCTCAGTGCATAGAGAAGGGGGAATGGATTTGGGAGGAGTTGGTGAACATGATCAAAATTCTTTTTTGGGGGTGGAGGGGTTTCAAGGCAGGTTTCTCTGTGGCTTTGGAGGCTGTCCTCTTGTAGACCAGTTTGGTCTCGAACTCAGAGATCCTCCTGCCTCTTGCCTCCCGAGTGCTGGGATTAAAGGCATGAGCCACCACCACCCGGCCCATGATCAAAATTCTTTTTTTTTTTTTTTTTTTTTTTGGTTTTTCGAGACAGGGTTTCTCTGTGGCTTTGGAGGCCATCCTGGAACTAGCTCTTGTAGACCAGGCTGGCCTCGAACTCACAGAGATCCGCCTGCCTCTGCCTCCCAAGTGCTGGGATTAAAGGCGTGCGCCACCAACGCCCGGCCAAAATTCTTAAAGAACTAATTAAAAAGAAAAAAGAAAAAGGACAATGAAATCTAAACAAACAAGCAAGCAGGTTGGGGTTTAAGGAGTCCAAGCCACTTCAGAAGGGTTGTTCTCCAAAGGAAACATCTGGAAAATCGTGTACTCTATGGAGAATGCTAGGAACACCTTGAATGTCAAGAGTAGGCTATTTGTTGGTAAGGTGATGCTTGCCTGCACGCCCGGTCCTTCAGTCCTAAAGATTTCTTTTTAGTTTTGAAGTGTGTATATTATGTGAGTTTGTGCTCACGAGAGCAGTATCCGTGGAGGCAAGAAGAGGGTGTCAGATCCCTTGGAAGCAGAGGTACAGATAGTTGTGAGCTGCTCAGTATTGGTGCTGGGAGCCAAACTTGGGTCCTCTGCTAGAGAAGTACTTGCCCTTAACTGCTGAGCCCCTGGGTCCTCCGAGCCCCCAGCCCCTTTCCTTTTCTGAGGCTGACTGGCAGCAATCCTTTCGTCTCCACCTCCTATGTGATAGGGATGTGGCAGCATGAATCACCATGCCCAGCTTCGCACTGTGTTTCTGCATTTACTTGTTTGTGTCTGTGCATGTGCGCTTGTGGAGAGGGCAGGGGACCACCTTCTGGAGTTGGTTTCCTCCTTGCGCAATATATGTATGTATTATATATGACATATCACCTTTGAAACTCAAAACAATCCACTAAACACAATTTCATTCAATGCTATTGATTTTATTTTGAATTTTTCTTATTTTATGTGCACTGGTGTGAATGTGTCAGGTCTCCTGGAACTGGAGTTACAGGCAGTTGTGAGCTGCCTTGTGGATGCTGGGAATTGAACCCGGGTCCCTTGGAAGAGCAGCCAGTGCTGTGAAGCTCTGAGCCATTTCTCCAGCCTACTATTGATTTTTAAATGAACTTGTGTCTATCTGAAGTTTTGAGAAGCTGTATGTATCACACACATACACACACTGTTTTTTGAGACTGTGTCTTAAGTAGCCCAGGCTGGCATTAAATTTGCTCGGTGCAGCTGTGGATGACCTTAAACTGCTTTCTCGTCAGTGTCCTAGAGCTGGGATCACAGGCACAGAGAATACCAGGGTGAACAAGGATAGGCTTTTAAGGACAGGGGGAAGCAATTGAAGACAAACCAGGGCTCATTCTTTGGAGTTGTTTTATTCCTCCCACCCCTCAAGTGCTGGGGACCAAACCTATATAGCCTTAGGCATGCTAGGCAGGCACCAGTGAGCTGTACCCTAATCCCATTCTTGCTTATCTTTAAATGACAAAAGATTCTAGCACTATATGGACCTGAATTTCTGAGAAAGAAAAGAGGAAGTGGAAAACCAACAGTGCCCCTCCCCTTCAGCGATGATAAACTGCAGCTGGCTCAGGACACCTCCCCCTGCCAAGGTTGCAGTACGTTTATCTTCTCCCCGGTCCTCAGAAACAGCCCTGTTCCCCCAAAGTGGCTTTGGGGTGGTGATGGTGGAATGCGGATTTAAAACAACCCTCTGTCAAGCTGGGAGGAGAGTAAAGTCAGCAAGCCAGCACCACCAAGGCCACTGTAATACACAGGGGATGGTGGTGGCCGGCAGCTGGACCTTGTAAATCCCCTGGGTCCCTGTAACAAAAGTCGACCTGGAAAGGGGAAATTCCCAGTGGGAATATACGCAGCTGGGGGCAGTTACAGACGCGGGGAGAAGTTGAACCGTGACTGGGGATGGTGGGTGCTTTTTAGAAAGAAAGCCCCGAGTACACCAGCTCCTGTGACCACGACAGTGTGACTGGCCCAGTGCGGGTGGCACCAGGAACTACTCTAGGACCTCGAGGGTCAAACGTCTCTCAGCCTACAGTGCCAGTTGGAGCATACACTGCATGCGCTTTCCCACTATGTCCTTCGACTCGCTCTCCTGCATCCAGGGTCCCTTCGTCTTGCCCGGCAGAGTCTCGGTTTTGTTCACTTTTCAGCCGCTCACAGGCTGGTGCGCCTGGTGGGCACGCTGTCAAGATCGGTAGAAAAGAAGAGAAGGACGCAGTGGAGGGAGGGAGAGAAGTGAGGGGCTTCTCATCGTCTCGTGAGACACAACCGGGATGTCCCCTAGAACAGGGATACACCACCTCCTCCTCAAAGTGAGGGGCTCCAGGTGACAAATCCTTACACACGCTTCCCGACAAACAGCCACCGGGACAGATGGGCAAAGGGCAGTAGGGTGCTATTGACACTCGGTGGTGTCCGTGGCCAGTGGTCGCAATTTCCAAAGTGTTTGGCTGCAGCCCTGGGATCAAACCCTTCTTTTTCTCACCTGCCAGGATCCATTAGGTCCCCCTCAAGTGACAATGGTCAGGGATGGGGGAGAGTGGAGTCCCTCACAGCTCCGGCCGGGGTGCTGTCCCTCCTCACCTAGACATCCTCCCCTTAGGTTCCTGATCACCTCTCCATCTCTCCAAGATCCCTTTCCGACCAACCATCCAGCTGCACGCAGCCTGCTCCGGTCTGCCTTACTTGGGGACTCCGCAGACCCCGCCTCCCCTTCGGGTTAGTTTTCCCAAATCCACATCCAGTCCCTATTTGGATCATGGTCGTCGCTAGGGCAGGTTCTCCCAAGGTGGAGTTTCCTCCAAAGTGGATGGCTCCACCGCCAGCCCCAGAGTGGACGCCCTTTGGTGCTGCAAAAGCCCGGTAGGACAGTCTCCCAAGTGCGACTGGCCCTAGAGCTCTGGCTGCCTCGGAGGTGACTGGTTCTGTGGCAGCAGGCGAAAGTGCCCCTCCTCCCGCCCGGGGGCTGATCACGATGAACTGGGGGGGGGGGGGGGGGAGTGAGAAGGGGGTAGGTCTCCAGGGACCGGTACTTTCCGACGCTGGAAACGCATTCAGCCTTTGGTGTCCCGGGACCCGATCAACACCGGGGTCCCCAGGGAGCGGCCCTGGGAGGGGCGGGGCGCCCGCTGTCCCTCACGTTGGCTTTCAGTCTCTCGAGTTTCAGCTTCGGGTTCTCCGGCGCGTGCCTTTCCTTGCTGCGGGACAAAGCGACCGGGTGGCAGAGGCGGGGTCAGGAGAGGGACCCCCCGCTGAGCTCCTGACTCCAGCTGGGAAGGCGTCCCGCCCACTGCCCAGATACCACCCCTCCCCGCAGCGCAGGGAAAGCCCCCGCGGCTCCTCCCACCCCAGGGGCTTTTCTCCAGTCGCCAGTGACTTTGCTTCGGGAGCGCAGCCGCCTGGCGCCGCTTTCCGCCGGGTCGGAACGCGCGGGGCCCCTGGCTTTTCTGCGAACGCTAGGCGCCAGAATCGGTGACTTCGGGGCGAGTCCCGAGTCCGGGTCCCCTAACCCGAACCCCAGCCCCCGGCCCGCGCCTAGGCCTCCAGCATGGTGCTGCTGGCTGGGCCCGGGCCGGAGGGCGGCGGGACACGCTGCTTGTCGTCTCCGCAGTCGCCGACGCCACCCCGGGACGCGCAGACAGGGGACGACCCAGGGGACTACGAGGAATACGAGGACTTCTCGAGTCTGCCTGACTCCCGCAGCATAGCATCAGACGATTCCTTCTATCCTCCCGGAGGGGAGGAGGAGTGCGGCGCGGCGAGTGCGGAGTGCGTCCCGGAGGGCGTCCCCGAGGCGGCGACCCTCCTGCGTGCTGCCTGCATCAACGACGTGGGGCTGCTGCGGGCGCTAGTGCAGCGCGGGCTGAGTTCCGAGGAGGTACAAGAGACTGACCGCAACGGCCGGGTAAGTTCGGGTTCGGGTCCCCTCCGCTCTCCTCCCTCGCCCCGATCTCCGTGCTTGCTACCCCAATTCTGGATCTGCTGCCTCTCAGAGCGTCCTTTCCCTCCCGCGTAGCGTATGGTAATGGGACACCATTTGCTCTGCTCAGGTGCGGAGCCGGCGGGAGATGACCCGACCCGGCTTCCTAATACGTCCCGGTCCCCTTACCGCCCCGGGGACCCCCTATTTCTACCTGGAGGCCCGCTCTGGTAAAGTGTTGACGTCTGGGAGGTGGGGGAGGTCTGGTCTATTCAGTTCCCCCAGGCCCCAGGTAGGTGACCGTCTCTACTCCCCTGCAGGGAACCACTTTCATTTGTCCCCTCGGCCTCTCCCGCTGTCCTTGCCTAACACGTTGGTGTCCGAATTAGGGTTTGGAAGCTACAGTTCCCTTGCCTTCCAGCTCTGTCTTCCCTGCTTCTCCTAGCCGCGCGACGGCCAGCTAGCCTTATCGGCGGGTCACCGCGGCGGGTCGAAGCCTGCGAGCTCTCACAGCCACCCTTCAGGCAGGCCCGGTGCCGCGCCGCACAGTAGCGGCACACACTGAGCTCGGCTGGCGGGGAGGTAGGGAGTCAGTCTCCGTTAATCATGCCAAGGCTCAGAGAAAGACAGAAAGTTTCAAAACCGAAAAGAGAAAGTTAGAGAGCTGTTCCCACCGAACACGGACCGGGAAAGTGACCGCTGCGCCTGTGTCCCCATTGGCCTCTGCTGGGTGGACAAAACAACCTCACCTGATTTCCATGTTCCCGGAGGCCCCGTGCTTTCTGCAGACTCAGCCCTGCACAAATTAGGGACGTCTGTGCTTCTGCTCCCGAGTCACAGCTGACAGAAAATGAGCGCTTTTATGTAGGGACGTGGTGACCCGGTGCTTTGGCTTTTTTTCGGGGCTGTGTGCAGGCAGTGGTTTGCCCCGGCTGCAGTGTGGGTCAGACTTTGGCAAATGTGAAGCACTTAGTGTGTCATTTTCTGCTTTCGGTAACCCCGACAGCATGGAATTGGATTAGGGAGAAGACCTATATGATGAAGGCAGCACACCCTGGTGCCCTGTGGTGGCTGTTCCAGCTGGTATGCTGTAGGAGGACTCGGGGGGCTATTTCTCTGCTCCACTTTCAGTTTAACTAAGCTAGTTTTCCGGGTCAGGTGTTCTCAGTAGAAACCTCTTCTTCCTGAGCAAGCACAGCCGCGGCTTGAAAGGATCGGCAGTGACAAAGGGTCTCTGTGTTTGGGGAAGCCTTCACCTGTGAGTGGCCGCTGGCCTCCTCAGCTTTATTATGACTCCTGTAGCGGGACGGACAGACAAACAATAACCGAAAGTTTGAAAGCGGGGAGGAAAGCTGGGAAGTTAAACCGTCCACGGGAGGCTTGAACGGGATAGATCAAATTCCAGGACCCCTGTAGAGCCCCTCCCCCTCACAGAGGTCGGGAAGGGCCAGGTAGGAGTCCATCGTGTCCATTCACCCCCCCCAACAGTTCCTGTTTTGTGTAGCACACCTTCAGTGACAGTCCCTTCTATATGGTTTGTGAGCCTGAAGTGCGATCCTGTCCCTAGCCTGCTGAAGCCCCGGCACACAGAGCTCTCATTTACCTTCTTTCTCCCCATTACTCCCTCATTTGCTTCCTTCCGGTTCCGAAGAGAATGCATTAGGCCCAGCCTTGTGGCCTTTGAGCCAGGTAAAACTTTCTCTTCCCTCAGTTATGAAGATAGAGACTGAGGGGCCTTTGTTCTGCTTTGAGTCTCTGTCTCTTTCTACCCATCAGATGCCCCTGGGGACCCGAGGAAAGGGCCCTGGGCTTTTTATCTCTGGGTCAGAGGCCCAGGCGCATGTTCTGTGTGCCCTGAGGGGAAAAAGCAACAGCCCACATTCTTACCCTTAGCTGTTGAGGTGAAAGTAAGAGACTTCGGGGGTCAGGTGGCAGAAGACATTCTGGTCAGGCAGGTTGAGTCAGGGGTTGGTGGCAGTTACACTGTGGTTTGGTAATGGCTTGGAGTGTAGAGGAGGGGCCGTGAGAGCCAAGGCTAGAAAGGTCGCTCAGGCCAGGTGAAGATTACCCAGCCATCCCTAGTTGACTGAGGAATATGGGGAATTGCGTAGCTTGCCAGTGGCCCGTCTGGTCTGTAGTGCTTCGTGTGCCTCCTAATGGTCACGTGATTCACTTCCTCTCCACCTGCAGGTTTCTGTCCTAAGGGTACAGTCTCTGGGAGGCCTTCCCACCCCCTCCCATCTCAGCCCAGAGCTGGCTGAGGGGGGTGCATGTGTTGAGACTCGCAGGGCTGAGGGCGTCCATAGGATGGTCATTTGCCAGCAGCTGTCACTGGAGCACAATCCCGAGGCAGGAGCAGTGTCCCAGCCTGGTCTAGGGGTTGATCATTCGTCCTAATGAAAACCTTAGCTTTGGTAGAATAATAATGGGGTGATTGCATTAACAGCGGGTGACAGCTCCTGTGAGCCTCTGCTTAGGGCCAGCTTCCCGGGAGCCCCTAAGGCAGTGGTTCTCAGCCCGTGGGTCGAGATCCTTTTAGGGTCAAATAGCCCTTCACAGGGGTCACATGTTAGATACCCTGCATGTCAGACAGTTATATTATGGTTTGTAACAGTAGTAAAATTACAGTTATGAAGGAGCAACTAAAATTTTTGTGGGCGGGGGTCACCACAACATGACAGGTTGTATTAACGCTGCAGCGTTAGGAAGATTGGGAGCTGCTGCTGTAGAGGCATTTGAAGTTGCTGTTACCCTCAGTAGCTCACCTCTCGACAGCTACAGCCTGAGGCACGTGTGAGACTAGGGGATGTGACTGACCACCACAGTTTGCTGCTGAAGTCTTCACAAGGATCTCAGGATTTACTGTGCAACATTTTAGTATTTATCACAGAAGTTTCCTTCTGGAACCGAACATGTGCTGTGGTTTTGGACTCTGGTTGTTTGGTTCCTCTCATTAAAGGGAGGGGAAACCCTTTTCCTAATTCTTCGCACCTTAGCATCTAAGTCAGGCTTATTCCTGCAGCCCTGGTGGCTCTCCTTCATTAACAGCAGAACGGAAGGTACCTATTTGTGCCATTATAGTTGTCATGGAAGGGTGGTTTGATGCCAGACAGCTGGGCCAAATTATGCCTGTTAAGCGTAAAGTGTGTCTGTATGCTGAAATCTCAGGAATAACAGCACAGCAAAGCCCCCCAGCACGGGATGCCTCCCCTCATGTAAGAGGCAAATATCTCCTATTCTATTGATACTTGGGTGTGATCACCACCTTCCTTTAAAATACAATTGAGAAATTTGTTGCATATTTTTTAATGAAGAATTTATTATGAATGTAGGAATTTTCTGTTCCTAAAGTGAGGATCAAAGTGTTGGAATTCATGCACAACCCTCCATCCTCCTAGGCCCCGAATGTCTTGTGTGTGCATAGAAACTGACTTACTCATAGAGAAGCTGTACTTCAGGTCTTTGCTAGTTACTATGGAGAGTGGGTTCTGGCCTGGGAACCTCCAATGCTTGCCAGGGACCAGTGCACACAGGGAGAGCTTTGCTTTGCATTTGAGAAATGTGTTCATGTCTTTTTCTTCTTAACTCTCCCCTCCCCCCCCGTGTGTGTGTGTGTATGTGTGTGTGTGTGTGTGTGGGTGTGAGTGTGGGGGGGTATGTGAGCTCTGTGTGGGTATGCTTGTTTGTGAGGTGTGTGTGTGGGGGGGCATTCTCACCACTGTGTGTGGGTGGCAGAGAACAACCTCTGGTCTGCCTCACCTTCCGCCTTGTTTGGGTCAGAGTGACCCATGAACCTGCAGAAATTTGTCTGCCTGCCTTCCATTTTGTCATAGGAATGTTGTCATTGCAGGACTGGGGTTGTATGGAGCCTGGCCTTATGTGGGTCCCAGGGGTTCAAACTTCGGTCCTTGTGCTTGTGTGGCAAACTCTTTGCCCTCTGAGCCACTTCCCTGGTCCACGGTGTCCCTGTGGTGGTTTCATCTTCGAGGGTGGCGAAGGAGAGAAGGGGCACTGAGAAGCATTGCACTGGGAACTCCATGGATTGCAATAAAAGTGAATCAGCTTGGCTTTGGGGACCCATTCCCCGTGCTGGGATGCCTCACCTAGCCTTGATGCAGGGGAAGAAGCTTGGCTCGACCTCAACTTGATATGCCGTGCTTGGTTGACTAACATTGGAGGCCTGCCCCTTTCTGCATGGTGGAATAATGAGGCCGTGGTGGTAGATGGGTGGTGGGGGGAGGAGGGAAACTGTGGTTGGTATGTAAAATAAGTGAAAATATTTAATAAAACGAATCAGCTCAAGTGGGCTTGCGGTAGGTAGCCAGCTCTTCTTCCTCCACTGTCCTTGGGGACATGTCCAGGCCTAGCATCAGTAGGAGGAGCTTATGCTTTAGGTATAAGGATATCAGTTATCTGTGGCTGTGTAGGGTTATGTGTGTTAGTCTGTGTACCTACAATAAAAATATTTTGAGATAATTGATTTATAAGATTTATAAATTGATTATTTGTCTGGGTTCATACTTGGGCAGCTTTCAGCCCAGGCCGGATCAGGCCTGTCCCATTTTGCCTCTGGGTGCTGGATGGCTGTGGCTGCTTGGCCATGGTACAGGAAGTTGCTTACTTCAATGCAGCAGTAGGTCTCTCAGTCTTGTAGTCCCCTTTGAGGACACACACCTCCAGGGGTCTAAGAACCTCACGCTGGGCTCCACCCTCTAATGGTTTGACCATTTCTTAGAATGCTACCAAACTTTTAACCCAACGGCTGCACGGGACATTTCCTCATGTAACTCACACCTAGGAAACCCCAGGGCTTCAATAGGAACCTCTCTGCTGAGGGTGGCCGAGTGTAGCCTATGGAGGCTAGATTTTTCTATTTGTCGGCACCCAGCTGGTGGTGGGCTGCAGATGACAAGATCAGGATGGCCTCAACTGAGGACTCATCTCTGCCCCTCACGACTGCTCACCCTTAGCGACTGGTCCTGCTGGCTTTCTGTGGCACATGCAGGTTCCAGGAGGGCCGTTTTGGTCTAGGTTTAAGTCCACTTCTGCTGAAGTAAGCCACAGATCAAGCTCAAGTGCAGAAAACAGACTTTTCCCTCTGAAGTGGGAGTGTAGAGGGAGAGAAGTTCTTCTTGCTGTCTACCTGAGGGAAGATGAGGCTAAGTCTAGAACAACGATATGCTCTCTCCTGGGTGCCTTCATCAAATCCCAGGCCTCTGTATGTTTAGCTGTTGAGCAGTGGTGTGTGTGTTAGTGTGTGTGTTAGTGTGTTAGTTAGTGTGTTAGTGCCCGGGGAAGTGTTTGGGAGCTAAGACGGTCATGGTTTGAGGGTAAAGACGGTCATGGTTTGAGGGTAACCGTCTTTGATCAGTGTGGTTGTGCTGGCGGGGGTTGCTGTCTGTTGGTTTTTCCGAGTTGTTTTAATGATGCAAACTCAGCCTCCATGTCTACAGGATGTCTGGGACTTCTAGGCCACTGAAACAGCCTTTGGTTCCGAGTTCAGCTCCCAGGTGGCTGTGATGAGGGGGTGCTTATTCCAGAACAGATGGAGGGGCTGACAAGATGGCTCAGCAAGCAGGTAAAGATGCTGACTACACAGGGCTGACACCTTAAGTTTAATCCCTGGAACTGTCAGAAGGGTGGGAGGAGAGATCCGACTGGAGAATGTTGCCTTCTAGTCCTGCCTACATGCATGCTGGGTAGTGTGCACACCAGGAAATGGATTATTTTGGCTCACAGTTTCAAAGTTTTGTGTTCACAGTCACTTGGGCCTGCTGTGTCGGGCCTGTGACTGCACGGTACAGCATGGTGGGAACATACGATGGAGGAGTGTTGTAGAATATTGATTTGAGGCGTGTTACTGTTGTTTATGCTCTGGAACACTTAATGATGCAAAGATGTGTTTGATCAAATAAAAGTTACCTGTGGTCAGGAGGCTGCGTCAGCAACTAGCTGACAGGAGTTTGTAGGGAGAAGTCAGGTGGAGAAGGGTTTATAAGGAGGGGCAAGAACGAGGGCTTCTTGAGAGACCAACGAGGTGAGCTGCTTGCTATACAGCCTCTCTGGGAAGCAGGATTCTACCTCAACTTTTGAATCTTGAGTTCTTTAGTGGGCAAAGGTTGAAATAAGTTTCCTTAGTAGCTTTGAAAGAGTTGGTGCCTGAGGGAACAGAATTCCCTCAGTTTGGGCTCTTGTGGCCTAGCTGCCACAGCCACTAATCGAGAAGCTGCATTTTCTGAATAGGATAGCCTTAGCTTAAAAGGCTGAAACAAATGAGGAAAAACAACACAGGAGGCTGCTCACTTCATGACAATCAGGACGCTGAGAGAGAAAGAGGGACTGACATACTGTCATTCAAAGACTTTCTGATAATGATCTAACTTCCTCCTGGTAGGCTCCATCTCCTCAAGTTTTTATCACATCCTGAGAGAGACACAGACTAGGGCCAAACATTCAACACACGGACCTTGGAGGAACACTCAATGTCCACTTTATAATGAGCTAATATATAGTCTCCTTTCAGTTTCTAGCTGGTTCATGGGGCAGGCAAGAAGGCTCAGAGGACAGAGGCACTTGCTGCCAAGTCTGATGACCTGAGTTGCCCTCTGGCTTCCACATACAAGCGCTGGGTCACACATGTGCCATCACATGAGATGCTAGGTACTACTCTCCTCTGTTGGATGTAGGGCAGGCAAAAGTTTCCTTCCTTTTGTAGGTTGCTGCTTCCCTGATTGGTGGCTACTTTTCCTGTGCAGAAGCCTTTGGGTTTCGTGCGGTTCTGTTTTCAAATGTTGGCTTCATTTCCCCAGCAACTGGGCTCCTATTTAGAAATCTTTACCTGTGCTTGTGTGTTACAGTGCACACGCTACCATCTCTTCTAGCATTTCAGGTTTTAGTTGAGGGTTTTGATTCGTTTGGAGTTGATTTTTGTACAGGGAGAGACAAGGGTCTAGTTCCTCTCTTCTACATGTGGACATCCAGTTTCCCAACACCATTTGTCAAAGTTGTCTTTGTAAGGATTCAGGCATTGTGCTGGCCTGTTCCTGTCTCCTGGCAGAATGCACTCAGGCAGTACTCTGGTCAGCCCAGGATTCCATGGTTGCATAGTCGGCAAGCAGGTGCA